AAATTATTAAAGCCAATTAATCAATCTATGTTATTACATAACATAGATGTTATTACATAGATTAATACCTAAATCAAAGTCAAACTGCGTCTCAACTCAAAATCAATTCGATACTATTTTTTTAATACATTTTAACGTTTGGCAATCAACAGTCAACTCGACTCGTAACATTCTCCGACATATATAAGTATATTTATATAGAAGTACAAATGATTTAAGAGTACATCACACAAATATTTGCCCCCACCGGGATTTGAACCCGGGAGGACCTCCCGAATAGAAAAAACCTTGAAACCCAAGCAAACAAACCTTTCGGTCATGGAGGTCGCCAAATATACATATGGTTTTTAAGTCTGGCCAGACATGAAGAGAATATTGACATATCGGCTCCCTTCTAGACACTGTGATAGTGGGCAAACATTATCTGAAAGATTTGTAATGAAATAAATGTTTCATTATTAATTCCTTTGTTTCATTAAGGCCCGTTCGTTACAGTACGTATGCTTATTTAATTTAAAATAACTGGAGACCCCCGGGATAGAATTCGATGCATTTGATCATGACTATAAGAGCTTTTAAACAAATGTAGTTTAAGCCGTGGCGGACGTGGGTGCAGCGTTCATACATTTTTGGCCAATGTCCTTTAATTCTTTACAGTAGGTAACGTTTAGTCGATGCCTGAACACAAAAAAATAATGACGTTGGCAGAGCGCGGGGATCAGACGGGTGCCCGTGGAGAGTAGGATGGCGCCATCATAAATACTATAATATTGATATTCTTTTAATAATATTTTTATTTTTCCGCTCTGAAATTGTGTTAAATGACATGGTAAAAATTTGTATGAGCGACTGCCTTAGCAATGTATAAATATTGTACTTAGTAATATTTAATGTTGCATGGCTGAATGTTTATAATATCTATGAAAAAAGGCTCAAGAACTTTTGATAAGGTCACAATCTTGAAAATTATGAGAATTCCTACTGTGTCATAACCTTGCTACATTTGATAAAAGATGTTGCTAATTATTTACAGAGCCATCAATTGCGAATTTTCTTAGGATCCTTCCTCCCATTTCTCTGATTAACACTTCACAAAAAGTGTTTTTAATGCAAAAATAAATACAAATAATTTGTTGTCATCGGCCTGACAGGTGGTCTATGAAAGTTTATTTTGTACATTTACAAAAATCAAAGGATTAATTATCATACAGCCTTATCTCAAGCATGATAAGAATAGTAAAATATGCTATTTCAGGCCTTCAGTGATTGTTATAATAAAAATTAGGGTCAAATATGTCATAGTTTTAAGGAGTTTGGAATTAATATTGTTTATTTCGATATACTTACACAAATATTTTTGTGTACAGTTATTGTTCATTTATTTCTGTAAAACGGAATATTTTCCTTATGAAACAGACATGTAGTCAATTTTCATACTTTTAAATATTTGATTATTTCACGAAAGTTGTATGAGAATAATAGACACGTGATAGTTAATAAAAAAATATTATAATGTTACGGGCTAGTTTGTTTAATTATACACGTTAAGGGCAGTTTCTTAGCCACGCCCTTTCTAGTACATTGAAGAGTGTACTACTTGGTGAATATACATCTTGAGGACGCTCATCAAAATATGATAAACTTGCGGCCGCCTGCGACTTTGTCCACGTCGTAATTTTAGTTTTTCGACAATCCCACAGGAACCTAATTTTTATCCGGGATAAAAAGCATTCTCTGCCTCAATCCCGGTCATAAACTATATGCGTACCAAATTTTATTAAAATCGCTCCAGCCGTTTAGACGTGAAGAAGTAACAAACACACACACACACTCACAAACTTTTGCCTTTATAATTATAGTGTGGTGATGACATCGTCGCCACTACCGTGTCGCGCGTCAAAATGATTATGCGTCTGAAGGTCGACCCGATTCCGCTGTTGTGAATGAATATTAAGGTTGATTATTTACTTATCGTTATCATAAAAATCATAGCTTGTTTCAAAACTTGGTTTTTTGTTTTAATATTATCAGTGATCAGTGTCAGCTATCTTATCATACACAAAGTACAGATGTTTCCAAATTTTTATCAGCAAGAAGTTTCGTTTTTTCTTTTGTCTTTAATTGTGCGCCTGCATGCAAGTTAGGAGTTCGATGGCGCAGGTGGTTAGCGCGTTCAGCTGCGATGGTTTAACTTAAGCAACTTTCGCAGTGGTCGATCATTGGATGGGTGGTCAAAGATCTTCTACCTCGAGTTCCTCCGTGCTTCGGAAGGCACGTAAAGCCTTTGGTCCTGGCTGCATCTGCAGTCGTTAGCACCCGCCAACCAAAGGCCCACGTGGTGGGTCATGGCTTAATCTCCCTATTCCTTCCACAGGAAAGGCCTGTGCCCCAGCAGTGGGGACATTAATAGACTGATGATGATGATGCAAGTTAGTAGCCACCCTATTAAGACTAGGTTTTTCTAGAGGTTTAAATTACTTATGCTGTCATCTGTAATATGATACTAGAGAGACCAAGTCTTGGTATCTTATCGGAGGCCAATACCCACTTCGGGTCGTTGCATTATCATAGTAAGTAGTAATAGCACAGAATATATACACTACGCGAAAAGAAGCGACACTTAAGCATGTGTGCTCGTAAAATCGCCCGCGGCTATGTGTGGGTGTCTGGAGGTGCGCGGGGGCGTTGCGCGGCGCGCGGGACGTGGAGAGGGCAGTCGCCGACTGCCTCGACCGAAGGGATGGCAGTAGCGAAATAGTAAAATAATAGCGTTGCACTGCATTGCACGCACAGACTGACTACGCTACGCAATCTTATTATTATTTAGATAATAATAAGAATTATAAAACGAATTCAAAAAGGAGAAAATATATAAAAGTTAGCAATTTGTTATAGTACCTACATTAAAAGATTAAAAATTGATTATAAAATCAAACCTATCCTTCATTATTTACCCCAGTATCCTTGAATCAGTTTACATTTAATAACTTACTAAGCATAAATATTCATTGGCACAAGTCTAAATTCCAAGTTCAACCCTAGCGCATACACGCTCCTGCTCAAGGTCACTGACGCTGGAACTCTCACGTACACAGAGTAAAGTAAGTCTTGGTAACGCTACTAACGATCAAGGTTCCAGAAGTTTCGAGGAGAACTTATCTCGTCATCTCGATTTTCCTAGAACCACCAAACTCGGTGGCCTGCATTGCACCAGTTCCTGGCATGAATGCTTTCCTTGATGCTCCAGTACTCTGCATCGGTGTGTGGGGGAGAGAGCCAGTAATCACCTTAAGATCAATACAGACAATTGGTACCTACAGATCAATCGTACCGTATATGGGACACTGACGATCGATCGTTTACGATATTCATGATTGCATGGGTTTTTGTTGCGATCTCCGATATCGTCTGCGATTAAGTAAATCGTTAACGATCTTGACATACACTGTCGATCCGTCGTTTCGATCGGTCTGAAACGACGGATCATACAGATCAATCGTTCCGTATTGGGCCCCTTTACGGTTGCGAGGCCATTCTTACAAGGTGAATTTTGGAGACCTTGGTTCTCAAACAAGAGTAACTGCTGACTGGATCAAGAGTATTGTAATTGGTTTAATTGCATATAATATCCTCATTTGCAACTCTCGGTGATAACTAAGACGTCATGCCTTTTCTAGACATTAAAGATAATTATGATACACACATAATTATCTTTCTTCTATATATATAAAACTCAAAGGTGACGGACTGACATAGTGATCTATCAACGCACAGCCCAAACCACTGAATGGATCGGGCTGAAATTTGGCATGCAGGTAGATGTTATGACGTAGGCATCCGCTAAGAAAGAATTTTGATGAATTCTACCCCCAAGGGGACAAAATAGGGAATGAAAGTTTGAGTCTACACTTCAGCTCTCGGCGAAGCAAAGCGAGGGCTGGCCGCTAGTTATAAATAAAATTAACCGCCATCATGGGGTGTCCGCTATGTTGAGTGCTGCCGTTCGATTGGACTTGGTTTAATGCAACAAACGCTCTTTAAAGTGCAAGAGGCCACCGTCTTTTTTTCATAAAAAAGGGATACTGATGAACTCGACTGCATTAGTGGTAAACGCGTTCGGTCACCAATCATGGTAAATAATCAAGTTTCGCGCAATGACCGTTCATAGGAGACATTAAGCAAGACATCGAAGCTATTGCTCCCGGCTGCATCTGCATTTGTTAGCACCCATCAATCCCTGCTGGGCCCTGTGATGGTTCATGGCCAAATGTTAACTAACTTGCATCAGCGGCTCGAATCGTCGACGACCAGGACCTTTCCGATCAGCTTGATCCTTTGGCTTTGCGTAGGGATGGAGCATCGCTCTGCATCTTCTATCGCATTTATCACGGAGAGTGTTCTGAGGAATTGTTCGGATTAATTCCAGCTGCTGCATTTCACCATCGTACATCGCGACAAAAATTTCATCCCCATCATCTTGATGCGTGGCTATCCACAACCGTGCGTTTTAGTCGAATTTTTTTACCACGTACGACAAAACTGTGGAATATATTGTCGCCAGCAGTGTTTCCGGACCAATCCGACCCAAAAACCTTCAAAAAAAGAACGTACTCCTTCTTTAAAGGCCGGCATCGCATTTGTGATACTCCTGGTGTTGCAGTGTCCATGGGCGACGGTGATAACTTACCATCAGGTGAGCCGTCTACTCGTATGCCACCTATAACATAAAAAAAAATGTCCTTACTCTATTCATAGGAAAGATCTATACACCCGCAGTAGGAACATTAATAGGCTGATGTGAAAAGGTAGTGGCAAAAGAGCGTAGTAATAAGCCGCCTGATGGTAAGCGCCCACTATAGCGATTGCGATGATAGAGTATATAGTATCGCTTGTAAATATACATCAATAAATTATTCGACTGTGATTCACTCGTAACATACTTCGTTGTTAGGACTTATTGATTGAAAATTTTGTGAAAATAAAAAAAAAACATTATGATTAAACTTATTTATTAATAATCTCACTAATACTGTTAACGGTTAAATCATTAATATAATGTACAAAAATCTTAAGATTAAAATAAATACTTATTCAGCAAAACATTTTTCATGTTTTAACTTTCTAAATTCTAATTGCTTACAAGGAACTACTTGCAGCGATATGCCATAATGGCGCTGAGATTTAAGAGAATTTGTAGGAAGGCCAAAGAAGAAGATCTTCCACCGAGCTGGGTGATGTTAGCTTGGAGACTGCAGTCCGACTTATTTTGGTCGGGCACTGTATATATGAAGTGTTAGCCTCCGAATTTCTAAAGCGCGATGTAGGCTTTCCATATTATTTAGTGCTCTACTAGTAGTGCCATCTCTTGAGAAGTCGAGTGATGCCTTTCCTCCATTTAGTTAGTGTATTAAAAATTGATGATAGATAAATTTACAAATCATGCCGTCATCTTTCTCTCTTCAAACAGTAACGGCACTCCTCCGCGTATTATTTGGATTACTCCTGAGGCAGGCATCACACTTGGCTGTCGCACCGACTCCGGCGCAGGCCGAACCGTAAACCGTGATAGGACCGCTGCCAACCCAGCCAACGACTGCATTTGACCCATTCGTTCTCCTGCAAAAATAAAAAAAGCATCTCCATTAGTAAAAAAAATAACAATTATACATTCAGAAAATCAAAAAAGGGAAACTGTAAAAATAAGCAAGTAAATTGGCCCGTTTTATGAAAATCTTCAATTTATGCTTGGAAATAATGCTGGCAAATCTAATAAAACGTCAATGATTATTGTATTACAATATTTTTTTTTGATGATGACAATACAAATTTTCAATTCATCAACATGGGATTTAGCTACCGCTTTTTGCTAATTAACGTATCTACTAAGAAATATAGCATAAAGATAAGCAACTTACCGATACACGCTCGTGGTCCAGTGCCGAAGGGTAAGAAGACATATTTCAAGGAGCTGTCGAATACTTCCGGGTCAAATCGCTCAGGGCGGAACTCTTCAGGGTTGTCAAAATACAGTGGATCCATTTGCATTGCCTGTACTGGTATGAACACACGAATTCCAGCATCAATAGTAATATTCGTATCCGGGAATGTGTACTGTCGGGCACACTTTCTGAGCAAATATCCTAGTGAAGGGAACATCCTCATGCCTTCTTTGAAAGTCCAATCCAAATACGTCATTTCTTTTATGGCATCATAGTTGAGTTTATTGTTGTGTTTTAACAAAACTCTATCAATTTCATCTTGCACTTTCTTTTGTATTTCTGGATGGTAAGCCAGTTGGTGTAACGTGAAACTGGTAGCCGAAGAAGACGTTTCAAAGCCTGCCACAAAGAATATGAACACCTGTGCAGCCATTGTAACATCGTCCAATTCCATTGAAGCCATCTCAGGAGTCCCATCATCTTTCACTTTTGTCATAGACTCGCCTTTCATCAAACCCTTACTCTTACACTCGAGTAATAGATCTATAAAATCATTTCTGCCCGCTGGTTGATAATTTCTTTCCTTCATGATTGCTTTTACCAAAGATATTATCTCGTCTTCAACTTGGCCCATTATCTTGAAGTTCTTGAAAATTTCAGGGAACATATCCTTCAAATATAGTGTAAGGATATCTCTAAATCTGAAATTGAAAATGTTGGCGCCGAGTTTTCTGAAGGCTGAACTTTCATCATTCAGTGAGTCTGTGTCTAAGCCAAAGCCACAGGCACCGATGAAGTCCGTAGTGTATCGTGCCATGAGGTCGCGGGCGTCGAGTGTGCGGCCAGCGGCTGCTGCAGCGGCTGTATATGCTTGCAACCTTTCAGCGCGACTTACTATGAGTGGAAACATAGCACGTAACTTGCCACTCGTAAAAGCAGGAGTCATACGTTGCCTCAACAACCTCCAGACATCACCTTCAGCAAAGAATATATTCCTGAACAATGGCTCAAATACCTCCGGATGCTGATTTAATCCCCGCATATGAAAATACGCAAAGTCGGTCGTCAAAATTCGCTTTACAAAGTTTGCATCTCTGATAACTAACCCTGGAGATGATGATCTGAAGATGCCAACGACCTTTTCCTTCGGATACTTCCAGTACGTCTCCACTAGCATTTCGGTGTAGCTTTTCTGCAGCAGATAATTCTTTGCGTTTGTACCAAAGAGCAGCATTGGTTCGTCATGTTTCACTCCCCTTTCCTTCCAATAGTTGAAGTCTCTTGTGTTATATAGGTAGAATAATATAAAAGCGACGATCAATACCACCGTGAAGATCATGATTATATGTATCTATTATTCGAATGAGATATTTCCCAATATGAAGTAGTTGACTCAACAAATCAGTTGGCTTACTGACTGCAGTATCATTAACCAAGCTATTTATACAATCTTGATTTAAGTTTATCCGATATCATATGAAATTATTTTGAATTGACTAGGTATGACTAATCCTTATCATATTTAATTAATGTTTTCATGAATCACAGCGTGAAAAGTACAGTTCCTTTTTCTAATAGATAATCATCAAGATAATCTTATATACTATGACCGGATCCGTTTTAAAGTAATTTTATGTTATCCTACAACTGAATACATATTGACGTTAAAGTTATTTTTAGGTTTTTAGCAAGGATTGTGTAATAAATGCTTACACGCCTCTTGATAATAATCATATATTATCATGTGAGTGGAATCCTGTTGCCATGATAGCTGATCCGGAAGAAATATGTGTAACGAATAGAGTTATTAGTAGTGCTATACTATTTCCTGGAATATTGGCTTTGGTTGTGTTCCCGAAAAGGAAATACAGTTGAAAATCCACACCTGCCTTATAATATAATGCCTTATAATGCATAATTTGAGATAGGTATAAGTGGTTTAATACAAATTAGGTTCCTCATATACATAATTGTTTATTAATTAAATTCTTTTGTAATTTTTATCTTTAAGACTGTATATTGCGACACCCTGACAGGGTTCATGTTAGGTACTATAAGCATTTTGTAACCATCGATGTAACCACATGAGTGCAATAAATTGAATTGAATTATGGAGTAGGACTGCACGGGATCTACCCTCGCACGTGGCACAGCCACCACCGTCAGTGGTCACCCAGCCAGCTACCCACCGAGCTGCCTAGCTAGTTGCTTCGTTAGGTTGCGACGATATCGTCCGCCCGGTTACCGTGCGTAAAGGAACTTCATTCCAAAAATAAATATAAAGAGAGACACAATGTCAATACAATAGAAGGTCATTTTCCTTATTAATTTAGTTCAATCAGGTTAATTATCAGTGAAGTCATAACCATTGGAACTTAGGAGTTAAGTCATGGATATTAATCTCCGATTAATATTCTCAACTTAAGTACCTACCTTCCGGTTTAATAATAATATGAGTGTTATTATAGCGCTAAGAACTTATACGTTTTCCTATTTTGATTAAATCACGGGAAAGTGTAATTAGTTAGTATTCAAGTGATTACTCGGAACATAATCTGATCACGTGGGTGTGTACATGCCCCTCGTCACATTTCAATCAATAATCAACCTTAAACTTAAATGTAGACACGCGAGTTACGCAATTATTTGTATAAAAACATTCGAAGGATTAATTGTAATTGATCTGAAATCCCGTTGAAGCTCATTGTCAAATATGTACTGAGTTTTAGTTCTAGCTACGTACTTTGTGGCGCTGCTGTTCAAGTTTCCATACTTTTGTATGTAATTATTATACATAAATTTTTTTGACATTGACATTTCGGACTCGCAAACGATTTGAATTCGATATTGGTTCGTGCTAGGGGTACTGCACAGAAACAGCGGACTATTCAACGTTCAAGGGCGTTACACAAATACCACATGAGTTTATCTTCTACGAGTGCAATGCTGTATAATGTCTATTAATATCGAAAATTAATATGTTAATTGGTGAGGTCAATTATTAAATAAATCTTAATAACTTCTAATATAAGGGGTGTTTTATTAAGGGCTTTAAATAATAATGGAAGACAGAAACATCTTGGAATGATTTTTTCTCTGCTAGAGACAGACTGACCCAACGGTAACGTTCTTGGGGTCGACACTAAGGCCCGTATTACAGAATGATAACTGTTGATCTTTACTTGAGTACAGTTAGAACGGGATGATCAAGACTAGATCAATCACTGACAACCTTTCTATAATACGGGCCTTAATGATCGGTCGTTCAATCCTGAGCTTGGTTATTTTTTTAATTGTTTTTGGAGTTTACTCCTTAAGAATCGATTTGCATATATAAGGGGCCCAGTATGAGAAAAATGTGAGGAGTAAAATCTATCGATGAATGACCTCGTTACGTTTTTGGTGCGCATCCTATGTCGCGCAACTTTGACAAACAAAGATGACGGATTGACATTAATATTTTTTTTAAAATCTGAACTGAATTTAGATATTGTTTCTGATAGAGCAATGGGGACAACGAGGTATGGTACAACCATTGATGCGGTATTTTCAAGATTCGTGAACCACGTATCTACGAAAGTCCATGTGTCTTATTTTAGTTACCATAAACCACTTGTCACTGTGCACTGCAATGCAGACAATGCTGATTTAATTAATATTAAAAAAAATGATAATAGTCTGATAATAATAATTACATAATTTATCAACATCTGAAATTGACTGTTGTAAAAAGTTTAATGTAAAATATTTCGTCGATTAGTTATAATAAATGTATATGAAATGAATAAATATATATATATATATATATATATATATATTTATATATGTTATCACTCACCACGTTCCACACCACCACTCACGTTTCTCGGCCATTCCATCTGGTGTACCACAGGGATCCATTTTGGGTCCTCTTCTATTTATTTTATTTGTTAATGTCATTAATATATGCTTCGAACACTCACAAATACTACTATTTGCAGATGACATGAAAATTTTCAGAAAGATTGGCTCAATTCACGATTGTGTACTTATGCAACAGGATCTCGTTAGGCTACAGGACTATTGTCTTGCAAATAAACTCGACCTTAATATATCTAAATGTAATTGTATTACTTTCAGTAGATCTCAAAATATCCTCCACTTCAACTATAAAATTAATATGCAGTCATTACAGCATACAGATTACATAAAGGACCTGGGCGTAATCTTTGATTCGAAACTCCTTCGAGATAGGCACATTGATAATATGACATCAAAAGCCATGAAAATGTTAGGGTTTATCTTCAGATAAACCAAAGATTTTAAAATAGCAAAATCATTAAATAAAATATATTGCTCTTTGGTAAGAAGTCACCTGGAATACGCATCCCAGGTCTGGAATCCTCACTATGATTGTTATATTAATCAATTAGAAAAGATCCAAAAAAAGATCCTGAAGTTTTTAAACTTCAAATTTGGGTTAAGTCCAGGTCCAAATTATATTGTTAACTGCCAACGACACCATCTTCTTCCATTAAGTAAGCGTAGAGAAGCTGCGGACTTAACATTTTTCCACAACTTAATTCTCGGCAAGATAGACAGCAATGAGCTGCTATCATTGGTTAAAATGCAGGTACCATTCCGTACAGTTGCCAGACGCAATTATCTGCGATTCCATACTGATTTATGTTCCACAAATTATAGACAGAATTCCTACTTTAATAGAGTAAAACAAAATTTCAATAATAATTATTCAAGTGATGTGGACGTATTAATGGTGAAACAAAATTATTTCAAAAAGATTGTGAATAGTAAATTTTTTAATAATAATAATAAAACCTAATTTAAATTACTTTATATTTCTATCACCATTTTCTCTGTGGGTATGGCTTTATGCTTAATTTTTTACTTCTGTGTTTTTATTTTTATATAGTTTTAAATTAATCTACGGCCTCGATTGGATTAAGTATATTTTATTTGAGTTGTATTTGTGAAAACTGTATAAGGCATATCAATGCTACATCATCTCGTTTTATCCTTAGTTTTAACATGCTGTTTGTTTTCCATGAATAAATAAATAAATTATTGTCATTAATTTGTTAATTTACCCTTTAATACAGTATCAATCCTTTTTAAGTTAAATAAACTCTTTTTGAGTCTGGTTAGACTATCGAACTTAAGGAGTAAACTCCAGTCGTGCGTCGGAGCTGACACACACATTTTTTTTTTCTTTCATTAAGCTATTATTTATTTTTAATTGTTTTTTTTTTCTTTTATTAAGCTATTTTTTTTTAAACAATATACCAATAATAAGTCACTTATTGTTAATCTAGTTAAGGAAAACCTGTCATTGGCCATACTTTTAGAAATGTACCTATTGTAAATTCTGTATCGGAAAAACGCTGTTGGTTTTCTTAGAAAAAAATAAATAAAAAAATAAAAATAAATATAACTTTATTATATTTAATTTAGCCCAGTATTTTACAATACCTAGTCATGAAGGACTTTCACGTATTCCAATTTTTGTAGGTTTCAACACAATATGTCCGTTTTTAGGTTTTTTCCTGAGAAGGAACCCTTATATTTTCGTCATGTCCGTCTGTCCGTCATCGGTTTTGCTTGGAGACTATAAGCAATAGAGAGCTGTAATTTTGTGGAGATATGTAATATCAATCACTCCGACAAAAAGGTAGAATAAAATTAAAAAGAAATATTTATTGTTTTAAACTTTCATGGTCACTAACATTAAAGTAATATAAGTTATTTACGGGATTGTTACCATGTACCTTGTTTTTTTTTTAGCGAGTTTCCGATATTTCGGCACTGTTGCACGGAGTAACTCCGTGATCATGGCGCTTGCAACAGTGGCGAAATATCGGAAACTCGCTAAAAACAAGGTACATGGTAAAAATCCCGTAAATCTTTATATATATAATTCTTCTGTGAGTGTGTATGTCACTGAACTTCTCTTAAATGACTGGACCGATTTTGATGAAATTTTTTGTGTGTGTTCAAGGGGATCTGAGAATGGTTTAGATTCACAAAGACGTGTAGACAGGACAACGTCTGTCGGGTCCGCTAGTAACTTATATTACTATAAAGAAATATTTTTTTACGGTAGCTCCGCTACATGTAACCTGGTGATGTTTTTTTTTCATCACCTACCCCACCGTGTGGGATATCGTGGAATACCTATTCCACGATATCCCACAAAGGACCTCCTTTATAAGGGTTTTTAACACTATTTTTCGATTTGGGGATCCGTTTACAAAATATTGAACATTAAAGTGCTAATTTTTGTTCGAGTAGGGCGTACCCCCCCCCCCCCCCCCCCCCCTCTAAAAGCGAAACTATTGACTTGAAAGAATTCGAAAAGTTCATGATATAGTAATGAATCTTTGATCTTTTTAGTAAACTGGAACGACTGCAAATTTTTTCCA